TCACATTTCCAATAATTCTTAGAGCGTGTTTTTGTTTAATTAGAAGCCCTTTATTTTTAGATACATTAGCGTAATTTAGATAGCAATGAATAAAAGAAAAGTAAATAAGTTTCAAACAAGTTTGGTTCAACAACTGTTTTTCTTTGTATAAAAGGCCTATATTTTTCAAAATTTTATTTTGGATTATTCGTATGTGCTCCTTCCATGTTACGTTTTCATCTAAAACAACGCCTAGAAACAACAAAGAACTCTCTCTTTTGACATAAGAGTTATTAATAAAAAGCTTAGGAAGTTGTAAGGGTATGGTGTCTTTATCATGAAGACGATGGAAGAAAGTATATTTTGTTTTTTTAATATTTATGGACAATTTATTTGATATAAGCCATTCGCTTAGTTTCACAAGCTCCTCGTTCACTGTTGTAATTAAAAAATTAATATCTTTATTTGAAAAAATATGTTAGTATCGTCAGCAAATAAAATTGAATTTAAAATATTGGAAAATTTACTCAAATCATTTATATAAATGAGAAATAAAAGCGATCCTAATATTGATCCTTGGGGGACTCCGCAGGTAATTGTCATCAAATCTGTTTTCTCGCCATCATGTAAAATGCATTGTTTCCTATTCTTTAAATAACTCTTAAACCAGCCTAAGTTAGAATTTATGATACCATAATTTTTAAGTTTATAAAGAAGAATATTATGATCTACGGTATCAAACGCTTTGCTCAGATCAATAAAGACACCTAAAGTAAATTTTTTTTCATCAAACGCTTTAAAAATTTCATGCACAAGATTAATTATTGCGTGATCGGTCGAATGACCGGATTTAAACCCGAATTGTTTATTGTAAAGAATATTATTTACATTTAAGAAAGAATAAAGTCTATTATACATTATACGCTCCAAAATCTTTGAAAAACAATTAAGAACAGAGATCGGTCTGTAGTTGGAAACATCAGAAGGATCACTTGTTTTAAAAATTGGTGTAACTTTTGCACCCTTTAGTTTTTCAGGAAAAATTCCATGTTTTAAAGACAAATTAAAAATATTTAAAAGTAGCATTGTTATATATTTTAGTGACTTAATAATGACCATACTGCTGATATCATCTAAACCGGAACTTTTGTTAATTTTTAACAAAGAAACTGAATTTAATAATTCTTCCTCCTTAAGTTCGTGATTTGGCATCACAGCGTTAGTTGATGTCAAGTATGATTTAAAACTTATTTGAGATGGTTCAATTTATTCAGCTAAATTTTTACCAACATTAACAAAAAAGTTATTTAGCGTTTCAGCCACCATTGATTTATTAAAAACTAATTTATTATTTAATTTGAGATTTTCTGGCGAAGCATTTCTATCTAAATCTTTTTTACCAATAACTTCCCTAATAATGCGCCATGTGTTTTGCGAATCATTACTTTTTATTATTTGATCTGAATAGTAATTAGCTTTTGAACGTCTCAAAGTTGACTCAAATAAACGTTTATAATTTTTATAGTTAGTTTCATTTTGTAGTTTTTTTTTAAAGATATTTACAATATAATCTCTGTTTTATTTTTGAAGATTTAATAATTCCTTTTGTTATCCAAGGGCTCATAAGGGTTTTTTCTTTTAATAATTTTGTAACTATGGGAAATGCTTTGTTATAATATTGAAGAAACTTATTTAAGAAGATATCATAGGCCTCATCAGCATTTGAATTTATTAGAGTTTCGTCCCATTTTTCGAATGATATAACATTATGAAAAGATTTAATGGAGGTATCGTTAATTAGTCGTTTTGTTACTTTCCTTTTTTGAGAATAAGACTTATCGCATTTATTTGATATAATAAAAATTGGAAAATGGTCCGAAATATCCGTTTTAAATAATCCAGTTTTAATTTTTGTTGTGAGAAATTCATTTGTAAAAATTTGATCTATTGATGTTGCACTATACTTAGTTACACGCAGGGTTTATTTATTAATGGAATGTAACCAGATTGAAAAAAGACATTAAAGAAATTATTAATGTGCTTATTAACGTCATTGTCAAAAATATTGATGTTAATGTCACCAATAAAATACACACTTTTATTACAACTTGATTTATTTTTAATTATACTTTTATGTGATTTTTGAACGCATTAATTTTCCTGTAGGCGGTCTATATAACGCATGCACAACTATATTACTTGAGGTTTCGCTAATGATTTCTACGCATAACAATTCATAGTCATTAGTGGTTGATCTTAATTTGTATGATAATGAATTAATAATAAATATACATAAACCCCCACCTTCCTTGCCCCAACCTCTAACTTGGTGAACCACATTGTAATTAGGTATTTGGAAATTTGAATCGTTTTCAATATTTTTATCATGACACCAAGTTTCGCTAAGGCAAATAATGTTAAAAATAATTTTGATTTTATATAAAAACTGTTTTAATGATTCAAAGTTTTTTTGAATACTCCTAATATTAATATGGAGAATTGAAAATGAGTTATCATCCATTCCTTCCGTTATATTTTTTGAGTTTGAGTTATAATATAATGGATTAACATGTTTAATTACTTCATTATTATTATAAAAATTAAAATCAGGATCCGAACTTTGATGTAAAAGTGTTGAACTATTAATTTCAAATGTTTTAAACTCAAAATCGGATCTGTCAGTTTCGTCAGCCATTTTAAATAAGAGTAGTTTTAATTAAAAAAATAAAATATGATTATTCAAATTGATTTCTTAAAATCCTTTACAATTAATTTATCGTAAATAACAGTACAATACTTACCGTTGTTCCTGTGTATTTTTCTTTCTTCGAATAATTTTTTGCGTATTATTGCTGTTTCTACCGAATTATCTTCGTTTATAAATATTCCCGAACCTTTAAGTTTGTTTGCATTTTTCAGAATTTTTACTTTCTCTTTATAATCAAGTAACTTGATCACGATAGTTCTTGGCTTTTCTGTATTACGCTTTCCTGTCCGATGTGCTCTTTCTATTTTTACTCCATTTACATTTAAATTATTTTCAAGTATATTCATTATTTTAATTTCCGAATCATCCCAACTTTCCGACTCGTATTCAGCAATTCCTTCAAATCTTAAGTTATTTCTTCTTTGCCGATCTTCCAGTTGTCGAATTTTTTCTTTGTCTTTGCTTGCTAAACTAGATTTTGAACAAATTTTTTTCTCTAAGTCACTAACCTTTTTATCGTGATTATCTTGATGGAACGATAGACTTTCTTCAATGTCCTTTAAAACTTTTTCGTAATTCAGTAACTGATTGTTTGACTTTGCTTGGTCGACTTTTCTCTTTTCAATACTAGCTGTATTGAGATTTCGGAATCTTTAATTTTATTCATTTTGATATTCAAAATAATTACGATGATAAAAGAAATAACAAGTTAACTTAAAAAAAATAAAAAAGTTTTTTTTTTACGCAGGAAAAACACGTCCGTTCACTTCCGTGTCTTGAATTAACATGAAAAATTTTAAAATATGATAAAGTTTTTAGTCAAGATTTTAGAAATACGCGCTTTCAAAAATAATTTTACACAATTATTCAAATTCAATACACCAGTTCGAGCCGCGTTATGGAGAATTAAAAAAAAAGACTGGATCGAGTTTACTAGGGAAATAATTCAAGTCGTTTAAACGAGCTTTTAAACAAAGTATAAACAAAAAATATAAACATGGCCGAGTCTATTTGCACGACCGTCGTGCAAATAACGAAAATAAGCTTATTCGCACGACTGTCGTGCAAATAACAAAAATAAACTTATTTGCACGGCCGTCGTGCAAATAACGAAAATAAGCTTATTCACACAACCATTTAAAACAATAAAAATGGCTTTTAGCACGACTATTATATGCATGTATATGTATATTACATGTATACATTTACAAATTAATTGAAATTGAGAACAACAACAATTCATGGTATAAAATTTGTTTAAAATGCACATCCTAATTATTCTGACGGAAAAAAGCAGGCAAGGATCCCTATTTTCTTACAAAATTTGCCATTTTAGCTACGCCAGCCAATATCTAAGTCCACCATTAAAATTTTTTAGGGATGGTGGTAGTCTAATGTGGCAGTTAACAGAGAATTCCAGTTTTTTTACTACAGCATTTGTAAAAAAGTTATGTCTTTTATCATGTTTCAAAAAAATTTCGGCTTCTTATTCAAATTATTCGGCTTGTTCTAAGACTTTACTTAGATCCTCAATAAACTGGTCCGATTTATGACGTTACAAAATTGATTCAATCAATTCTATAAATTATTTTGTACTAATTGTATAAGTTCACTACGCTGTTTAAGGTCACTACGCACACGGCGAGTTTGAAGGGTAATCGGTTAAGGGTGAAAGTGAAGGGTAGTTTGAACTAAGACTTGTTAAACGTTTGTCGTATATTAGGTGATTAGTGTCTTAACCCAATTTTGCGGTTCGATACTGAATTCTTTTAGTTGTATTTATACATCTTCTGTAATGATAAGTCTGGACAAGTATAGTCACTAATATGTTAAGGCGTGATATATATAGTATATATTACGCCGTAAACTCCAAATAGAAAGTTCAAAATAGATTATATTTTCTGTTGTACATTTTGACTTAGTTAATATTAAATTTTAACTTCTATACACTTATATTTGATCTATTTTTATATAATCGCAATTACTGTGTATACTGTGCAACTAATTACTGTGTATACTGTGCAACTAGTTACTGTGCATATTGTGCAACTAATTGTTTTTTAACTCTAATGGGTCAAGACGATAGGTACCGCTTGCTGGTTCTATATTTTATAAACCTATTACATTTAGAGAATGAGTTATTCAAATAAAGTAGTAATGATTAGTACTCAGACATCCAATTTTGGCATTCCTAATACAAATCAACTTTTAGCTAGAGTAGTTTTTAAATTTCTAAAATAAAATATCTCTTTATAAACTCGTTCAGATTTCAAGAAAAGTATAATACGCGCAGCTGCAGAGAAAACACAAAAAAAATGTGTAATAATTATATTCTGGTTAGCAAAACTTTTTTTAAATATCATTTTCATCATCGCCTCGGATATGAATATCTTCACCAACTCGAAACAGAAGAGAAACTCGGTTAAACTTACATAATACCGTTTATACTGATTAGCTTTGATATCTCGACATACTACAAAATACATACTGTAAAACATAAAAATTTACATACTGTAAAACATAAAAATTTAGTTTGCACACCCATTTCAAATTCATTTAAAATGGATGTAAGAAAAGGAAATAAAAAATAATTTTTTATTTACTTTACCTATTGATGCCTTATATATTTTACAATATCTATCGATTATTGTTTCTTTACGTTTATTTACCATAAGATGCTTAAACCCTAAGCACCTTAGGGTAATCAAACGTAAAGGAACAATAATATTGGTATTGTAAAATATATAAGGTATCGATAGGTAAAGTAAAAAAAATAATTTATTCTTATTTCATACAGGGAGTTTTGGAAGAAATAAAAGGAAGTGGGAATTTTATCCCAGATCTAATTAACGGGGTGCGGACAGGCGTAATAAAAGGGTTGATGGGAAAAATTTTTATTTTTTATCGGTTATTAATATATATATTTTTAAATTTTTTTAAAGTTTTGAGATGTAACGTTTTTATTGTTAACAAGTATATCCAATAAACGGGGGTAGGGAGGTCTTAATACGCTTAGGATAGGTGGCAAAATTTTCAAAAATTAATAAATACCCGCTTCTTAAATGAAATACCTTAGTTAGCTGCATGAATTACAATGCCAATGTAAAGAGTTGTCAGAATTATCAAATATATTCTTTGGAATGGAAAGGCATGAAACGTGAAACCACTCCTTACAATTGTCGCATTTGACCATTTTTCTTCTTTATTATCTGGAAGACGACATATGCAATATAGTGGTAAATTAATTGGTTTAGGTTGTTTTTTCTTTTTTCGTTCATTAGCCTCTATAGGGAATGGCGTTAAGTAATTGTCACTGAAGCATTTTAACAAATGATTCCGCATAAGTTCTTGCTTATAGCATTTTATGCTTGGATCATAATTGTAACATAAATCTGTTGCCACTGCAATTGCAAAAAGACCACAATCAAGTCCACCAGATTGTCTTTGGAAATCTTTGAACTGTAATTTCAAAAAAGGTTTTTTAACCATCATGATTGATCCTACTTGCATCTTTCCACTAACACTTAAGTCATAATATAAGGAATCAAAAGCATCAACTGAGTTAAGATGGGTACTTAAAAAATTTGAAATGGCAAGCCAATGCATTGCACCATTATGTAAAATTTGAACAAACTTTCCAGATTGCACTCTAAAATGAAGTTTTGATCCAAGAATAGGGTCTTGTAATCCTTTTACATCTGGAAACTGCATGAATAAACGCTTTTGTGCTTTATTTATGTGCAAATCAGATAACATCTCGAATGAGTCCTTAATGGAGAATAGTTGAAGATCTATGACAGAGAGTTGCTTTTTTAATAACTGTTTCTTATGAGCAGTTTTGCCTAAAATTCGCTGACACGATTGATGGTAAGAATCATTATACAAATCCCGCTTCCTTTTGAGCCTTGCTTTTTTAATCTTGATATTTCCTACAACTAGATGGACTTTAGGTAAACATACACTTGCTAAATTATTAAAAATATCTATTGCTTGGCCGGTGCAGCATTCAGATTTAGTTGTAGGAAGATCTTTGAAGTTTACGCTGTCATTTAGAGAAGATTGATTTGGAGATAAAACGCTTCCTTGATTTTGAAGTTGTTCATTTAAAGTTAGACTAGATGGTAGCAGAGAACAAAGATTCAGAAAAGTTTGGAGAATTGGACATCTCTGGCAAATCAGACATTTTGGGCAACTCTGACGTTTCTAGAAAACCTGACATTTCAGGCAAATCTGAGATTTCAGGCAAAGCAGACACTTTGGGCAAATTAGAGATTTCAGGCAATGCTTGCGCTTCCATATCAGAAATTATAACTTTTTTCTCAGCTAACCACAATTTATAAATTTAATTTAAGGAATCAATTTTTTTTTCAAACTCGTTCATTTCGAGAGTGGATAAATAATCAGAAATTGGTTTACATAGATTCATGAAAGTTTTAAATTTCTGATCTTTAGAAAATGGCACTTTTAGTGCCTTTTTTCGGTTTTATTAGTTGAAAAATGAAAAACATTGTTAGCCTGATTATGCAAACTTCTGGTCTTACGAGAAAGCAAACTTCTTTTTTGATAGCTTAAATGCCATCGCTCTCCTGCATCTTCTGCTTTAAAAATAGCATCACCATTTACTATTTTCACTGCCATTCTATGCCGACAAGGAAGTTTCATAGTAACCTGCAAAGGACACGAACATACTTTATTTAACATTAACAAATCAGTGCAAGACTTTTTTAATTCTGAAATTACAATTCCAGCAGCATATGGAGTTAGAACCTTTACAATCTCATCTGTAACTATAGCTTCATCAGTACCTAATCTATATAGCTCTTTAAAAGATTGATTAAACTCAATATGAGCCATTTGTTCAAATTTACCAGTATGTAACAAAAGGATACCTTTTACTGCCTCTGCTAAGGACATTTTCCTAGACAATATGTTTTTAATTTTTTGGTTATGGGACTCGGACTTGTTATTTGTTGTATTACCAAGATTAACATACTTGATAGTTTCATAGTATGCCCAATAATTAACTTGGTGTGGCAAGCCCCAATTTTTGTTGTAGTATGCCATTACAACTTCTGGTGCAACTGTAGCAAGATGACCCAAATTTATATCAAACAATTTCTTTGATTTTGCATACACAAGCAATTTAAATATTTTTTTTAGATTATCTTTTTCTATACTAGCTAAACCTTGTTTATTTAAAAATCTATAAAATGCTTGCAAAACATGAAACTAACACAGTTGGATTTCTGCTGTAGGCATAACCTTGGAAACTGCACCTATTTTTTTCAGGTCCTTGTCAAAAATGACAACCTTTAATTGGTTAAGATTCAGTATAAGTTCAATTTCTGAAAGCACATCTTGCAGAGTATTTTCAGTTTCTTGTGCAATGAAAGCATAACCAACAGCCTGACCTTTTCCATTTCCATCCTCAACTAACAGAGTGAATAAAGGCATTCTTAATTAGTTTGTGCAATATGTGCAGTCAATCATTAGCACTTCAGGAAACATATCAAACACCTGCTGCATATCTCCACTTATTAGTAAAAGAAACTGCAGAACACCTTCTGAATCAACTTGAACAGATATAACTGTATCATTTTCACCTGAAATTAAAAATCAAACTTTAACTAAAACTTTTAGATAATATATAAATAAAATAAATTGATTAATAAAGTGTATTATTTAAACTATAGTTGAATTATAACCCATTTAACTCAAAGTACAATAAACCTCTGAATAAATCTCTGAGTACATTTAGGTTAAAACTATCAGGCGTTCACTGCCTCTATATATATACTAACTCTAAATCATAAATACAAAAATTAAAAAAATTTAAAAAGAAAAGTTAGAGCAGAAGGCTTACAGAAGGACATGAGTTCATCGATCAAGCCTCATTTGGTTTTTCACAATTGCGTTCTAGTTCAATTTTTTTATTTATGTTGAATAAATCTTTCGATGTTACTATTTTTCTTTCTTATTTTTTAAATATTCTTTTAAAAAACAGACTTTAACACCAAGTTTAAACATTGTGCCAATATCATCTTTAACTATTTCACTTAACCGGTGTTGTTCAGGGTAATGCATAAAAGCAGTTCTATGAAGGCATAAATATAAATACAAATTAAATAAAATTAAAAAATAAAAATTACAATAAAAAAATACAAATTAACTCAAAAAAGTAAAAAAAGTACAATTTTTTACAAAATAAACTAATAATAAAATATAGTTGTACTAACCTGCTGACTTCATGGTTATGGTTAGCCTGAAGTTGCTGTACTACTAGTTTTGTTTTATCTTTATTAATACTAATATAAAGTTTGGCACTACATCCAATTTTGAAAAAGCTAAAAAAAAAAGTAATGAAAATCTTCACTTTCTGAAAATTATTGAGTTCTATCAGTGGGTAGTGAACATTATAATGTTCACTACCCACAGAGAAGTGCATGTTGTAGTTGATATGAGATCTTATTCAAGCTCGAATGCCAGCTTCCACAAGCCAGTCAAAAACAAGCAAAAAATGATTAAAATGAAATTTAGCATACACAAATAAAATATTAGATTTCTTTTCTTTTAGAAAAACTTTTAGATAAAAAGAAATTAGATAAACAAAACATTTAAAACTTTTGATTTGGGCGAATTCCTTTCCCTTTTGTTCTCTTAACTCCTCCATGCTTGCATGAATATGTTACATTTCTAAATTTAAACTTCTCATCAAAATGTTTTGAATTCTGACTCAAACCCTTACTAGCCAATGTAACAGTTTTGCTGTTACATTTAGTCCATAAAATGTTTGTAAATGCCGACCAAGAAGCCAATTTATTTTCAAATTCAGCAAAATTATCAAACTCGTCTCCTTGCTTAATTTCAATATTCATGACTAATTTGATAGGCTGAAACTAAAAACATAATTTAGGTTTATTATGCTACCATATTTATAGCCAAAATAAATTAAATAAATCAGTTTATTCCAAACAAGCTACCTGATTGAATTCTAACTTTTTGAATAGCATATGCGTATTATATTTATAGTTTATATATAACCGTGGTCGTGCGAATAAGCTTTATTTCGTTATTTGCACAACGGTCGTGCGAACAAGCTTATTTTCGTTATTTGCACGACGGTCGTGCGAATAAGTTTATTTTCGTTATTTGCGAATAGACACTTCGTATAAACAGAGCCAATCAATATTGAAACAAAATATAACATATATAAATTAAAATGGATTATGATATCGTTTGCAGTATGAAAGTTGAAGAGTTATTTACGTCTTCGTGGCTTGAAAATATCTGGAAAAAAAAATTCTTGTTGCTAGAGTCTATTGGGTAATGGAAAACAATAATACCCCTATTAAAACAGCTGAAGAGCTGGAACATGATATATGTACTGAGTACAAAAAAAACTTTTTGTAAACGGTGTTGAACTACCTGATCCTTTCAAGCTCAGTAAAGGTTGGTTATCAGAAGACGAAGGTCTAACTTTTTGGCCAACATTATTATATCCTGATATTTACAGTTATTTATTTAACCCTGCTGAAATTGCCAGTAAAGACTTAAGTGACTACAAAACGTGTAAAGCCTATAGTTACTCTAAATGTGGTTGGCTTGAAACTTTATTTTACCATCAAGTTGGAATAGATAGTGAATACTGTTATTTAAAAGGAAACTGTAGGAAATCTGAAAAAATTAATGATCCCTTTCACAAGCTATGGATTATTTTTAATAAAAAGACTGCTAAAATAATTTCTGCACATTGTACTTGTATAGCTGGGTTATCACAGACATGTAATCATGTTGCTGCAACCCTTTTTCGAATAGAAACTGCTGTTAGAAATGGTTTGACAAATGTAGCTTGTAGTAGTTTAAAATCAGAGTGGCTTCCAAACCGTAGCATAGTTGAACCAACAACTTAAAATTTAATCGTGATGAATTTGGTCAGCGTGAAAGAAAAAAGCATTTACTAGTATCAAATGAAAAGCATAATTACAACCCATTGGTAAACTGTGACTTGAAGCGTTTAAAATTAACAGACATAGCAAAAGCAATTAAAGCTGTTGCTCCTCATAGTATTATAATTTGTGTTGTAGCTAAACCTGACATTTATTATATGGATTAAATTGTGACAGCAACTGTTATCAAACCTTTTGACCATGGAGGACCATGGTTGTTACAAACCTACATTTTAGAAAGAAAATAATTTTTCCATTAGTGAAAACATTAAAACAAATATGACTCAAACAATAATTACTGATATAATTTTTTTTTTTTTAAATAAATTTCGTCAGTAAAAAAAAAAGAATACAATGTCGTGTAAAATAAATAAGATCAACATGACCGGGGTTAAAAGAAGACAATACTTGCCTTATCACTACACCCCGACGTGCTTTCATAAGCAAGCGTGTACAACCATTAAAAGTTAAATATACAACTACTTTGTGCCATTTAAAAAAATTATATACAATTATTTACAAGTATGTTAAGACTAGTTACTAATCTATAATCAAAAGAAAATAGTAAAAAGAAATTAAAAAAAAATAAAATAAAATCAAAACTATAGATAAGCTAATAGGATAGTTTATAGAGTTAATAAGATAATTGTTAAAAATAAAGAAAAAATAAAAATAAAAAATTTTTAAAAAGAATTTAATTCATTAACATCGTTAATAAGTTTTTGTTTCAATAAACATTATTTTGTTTCAATTAAACCTTTATCAAGTTCTTATTTTTATGTACAAACTTCATAATAAAATATCACCTATAATATTTAGTACTCTTTTCAATAAAATTAATCACATGTACCATGTAAAAATGTAGATTTTATAAAATTAATCACATGTAAATCGAAAGATTTGAAAAGAAAGCAGTTTTTTTAACGCAATTGTCTTATTTTTAATTTTTAGATAAGTTATTATATAAAAAATAGAGGGTTTTGTCGTAAAAAACTTAGGTTCCTTTGATTCAGCTAGGTTTATTTGACCTAAATCTTTAACAAACCAACTTAATCTTAGAAAAGAAATCAAAACATGTGATTAATTTTATCAAATCTCTATACCGATTTAATTAATCTCGATATAGAGCGTATGACTATGGGTCAAAGTACAAATGAGATTTGGTTTAATTTTTGAAAGTGAGTTATAACTGATTCAAAAGCTCATGATGTTTTATAAAAATTAAAGTTGTCATGTGGTCATTACACCAAAGTATTTCAGGGATAACTTTTGTGAACTCAAATATACCTGCATTGAAGTATGAGCAATGGAAGAGCAATGGAAATAGAAGCAGCAAACCAATTTTTCGAAGTTATGAAATCTTTTCATCAAAATTTAAATGTAAATGAATGTGGATTATTTTTAGAGGTCGAAATGCCATATATAGGTGGAAGCCCCGATAGAATTGTCCGATGTCCATGTTTCCCACCAGCTTGTTTAGAAATAAAATGTCCTTTTTCTACAGCCATACAACACCAAAAGATCCTAATATATCTCTTCCTTATATTAAAAAAAAGATATTATACTCAATGTCAGGTCCAAATGGGAACTGCTATGATGATCAATTGTTATTTTATGGTATCGACAGCTCATGGGTATATAATTGATAAAATTGAATTTGATGAAGCTGGTTGGTTGAATATGAAAAAATTGATTTTTTCAAGTTCTACAACAATCATTACTTAAAAACTGTCTTGGTAAATTTTTCTATTAACTGATTGGAATAACATAGTAAAACAAAAATCTGTGTTATATAACTGATATATATATATATATATATATATATATATATAATATATATATATATATATATATATATATATATATATATATATATATATATATATATATATATATATATATATATATATATATATATTTATAATTATAAAACCCTTCTTATATTTAAATTTATAAGTAGTTAAATTTATAAGCAGACACCTGAAGAGTTTTTTGTATTTTTTGCTATTGAAAGGAGACAATAAGAGCCAAATAATGGTGTAAAAAAATACTCAAAATTAAAATGTTTATACCATTTATGATATTAAAGTGATTACAAGTATTACAAGTAATTAAAAAAAATGTGCAACATTAGCACTCTTGTGTGTTTAATACAAGGGGGTAGGCGTTTAGTAATTACTTTTTAATTTCACACCCATCTAAAGCTTATAAAGACAATCAGATTTATAAAATTGTTGACCTATAAAAAAATCATTCTTGTAATTCTCGATTTGTCGAAAATGAGCTATTGGTTTATTCCTCACCTTATACAAAGTGTATTAAGTTATATTTTATGATAAAACAGCTGTTAAAAAATGTGCATTTGATTATAAACCACACTAGAATTAAATTGATTTATGCGTGTTCTGTAAAACAAAAAATTCCACCCACTAATATAAAAATACAACATAAAATAAAATGGAACTAAAATCACACACTCCTTTGCATTTAGCATGCAAGAGTACTACTAAATTAAATATATATATATATATATATTTTACAACATCAGTAGTCTTCTTACATTCACTAGCAGTCATTTGATTTTTTACCCTTGCACCTGGTGGGACTGCTAAACTGAAATAACAAAATACTAGCTCTTCTCTTACTGCCATCACTTCATCGTCCCTTTCCAACATACCATAAAAACCACTGTCATTTGGTATCCATTTTCAAGTAATGTATCCATACCGATTAATACTTTAACAGTGTTGTGGTGCTTATAATCAGACCAAGTCACTGCTTGGTTGTAAAGGGACTTTAGATGTTCAATAAATATTTCAAAATAATCAAGAACACTTGTGATGCTTTCACAAAGGACTCTAGACTAGTGATGCTTTGCTTTCACTCTACACTTGTGATGCTTTGCTTTCACAAAAGACTCTAGCAAGTTTTTTTTAATAACTTCACTTGGCAGCCAAACTGCCAATGTTAGCAATAATTCTCATAAAAGTGGTAAAAGTATTAGAACACACAGATTTTGAAATACTATAACAATCAGCAATATCCTCATGTAATAACCCTAAATGCAACCTCAAAAGTTCATTTTTTTATCATTGTTATCTAATCTCCAAGTAAATTTTTGTTTGGACTTTACTGTTTGTTTTATTTTCAATTTTTTTAACTGATTTCTAAGGCTATTTACTTGACTCACATAAGCGGTGATAAGTGAAGATTTCTATTCACATGAAGTACATTTAATAGGTATTGGTAAACTCAATGAATACTTATAGTCTGATAATATAGGTTAAAACATTTGCATTAAAACTAACACTTGGAAACTCTGTGAAAATACTTTTTCAGTCAACAAAGGTTCTACAGGTTGCATTTTACTAGAACATGGTAAAGAAGTGATTGGGTGCTTTTATAACAGTTGGTGTTTTATCTACAAAATGATCAGAACATACTCTATCAGCAATTCCGGGTTTCCACGCACTTCCTTTCTTCTTTCCTTCTCTTCTGAGCTGATTAATCCTATGTTCCTTTTTTAAACTATTTCTTTTTAAACTTGGAAAACAATACATTTGGAATGGTAACTCATATCCACACTCCGATAGTATCTTCCCTTCGTGTTGAAAACACGTTTTATTTTTCAATTTTTCTAGCTTATAGGAACTGTTGGTACATCCTATTTCAGCACAATTAACTTTTATCTTGAATATTATGATACTAATTCGCAACTGAGAAAATAAATATTTACCCTACTAAATTCGTTCCAGGACTTTTTTGCGCGCGATGTTAATAATGGCAGAACCGAGCTCGAACTGGTGTATTGTAAAATTTTAAATTATTATTTTTTTTTTTTCATCATGGCTAATGACTACGTAATAATAGATTTTGAAAGTTTGTGTTTTGATCTTTTTAAAACTAAAAATAAATTTAGTTTAATTAAATTAGTAAAAAAAATTAGTAAAATTAAGTTTAAATTATTCTTGCGAATAATTTAAACAAAGATGTTATACACTTTTATAACAAATTTGACTCTCCATACTTTGATGCTAAAACTTTGCTGAACTTCAAAGTAATATCGGAAATTTCACGATAATAATCATAAACATCAGGAGCTAAAATAAAAATTAGAAATGATATTTTGATTTCTGATACAAATAATGAGGTTTACAGTAGAAGTAATTAATGATACTACATAAAACCTCCTAATATCCTCTTGTTATAGACTGCCTGAACAAAATATTATAAAGTTTTCAAACTTTATAAAACAAATTAAAAACAACGTTGAACAGAAAAAGCTAATTTGTATAGCTGACATAAACATAAATTTTTTTTTGATGATACAGCATTTTTTTTTTTTTGATGATACATCATTTTTTTTTTTGATGATACAACATTTTATTTTTTTTTTGATGATACATTTTTATTTTTAATGATACGGCATTTTTTATTTTTGATGATACAGCATTTTTTTTTTTTGATGATACAACATTTTTTTTTTTTTGTTGATACATTTTTATTTTTGATGATACAGCTTTTTTTTTTTTGATGATACAACATTTTTTTTTTGTTGATACATTTTTATTTTTGATGATACAGCATTTTTTTTTTTGATGATACAACATTTTTTTTTTGATGATACAACATTTTTTTTTTTTTTGATGATATAGTTTTTTTTTTAATGATACATTTTTTTTTTGATGATACAGCATTTTTTATTTTGATAATACATTTTTTTTTTTGATGATACAACAATTTGCAAATTATAAAAAACTCACCCCGATTGCTTCCACCTCAATTACACCTATCGAAAGTGCATTGGCAAATTAAATTCAAGATACATCTTTAAAAGCAGGAATAGTTAAAACGAATATATCTGACCTATTCCCAATATACTTTTTACTAATTTTTTTAATAATAGCTTAGTGCTAAAAGTACTAAAGTTACAAAATAAATGTTTTGAGAAAATCTACTTTGATCAGAGATATAACATTTTAAAATAAGGATTTAATAAGAAATGGCTGATCAAAGTAAGTTTTCTCAAATATTGATTATGTGACTTAAAAATGTTTTCCCAAAACCATTGAAATTGTCAAAAGTATGTCCAACTGCAAATTGAATTAAGAAAACTTTTTTTGTTTTTTATGTTCTTGATTTTTGTAAATGATTTAAATAATGTATCAGCAAAGCTTAACTCGATAATGTTCGCTGACGACATAAATCTCTTTCTTTCAAACACTGACATTAAGCAACTTTATTCTGTCATGAATTTTGAATTAAGAAATGTTAATGAATGGTTAAGGCTTATTGATTAATGGTTAATAAACTCTCCTTTAATGTAGATAAAACAAAATATACTTTATTTTATAAAAAATCACAAGATGAAAGCGGTAAGAGATTACTACATCTGCCCAACAATATCTGTAGAGTATTCCAAGATTATCTGTACACTTATGTCCAAGATCATCTTTATTTTTTTTACTCCAACAAAATCTGTCAATATCATTAGGAAATTCATTTAACAACATCTTAAGGAAGATGTTTCTAATAAAAAAAATTTTAAACTAGATTAGTAATTGTTGACTTTTCTTTCTAAATCAACATTGAATTCCATTATTTAATTTTCTTTGATTTGAGTTTGATTGTTAAAGAATTAGTATATTTGAATGACTATAGCTAAAATTATATTAATACTATTTACTTTCTTGATTTAATGGAAATATTTATATAAGCTTTTATTTTTTTGTTATATTGGAATTATATTTTAACAATTTTTATTTTATCTTCAACTTGTAAAGTTTACATCCATTAAAAGGTGACTTAAGTAATCCGTATTATCTTTGAGCGCCTGCCTGTTTTTTATATATCCACTTTTTTATGTAAACTTTTTTTTCGTAATTATATTATTATATATCTTCTGATAATATTAATACGCTAATTTAATAGTAGTAATAGTCGACTTACGTCATTTTCTAGGCTTTTCTATTTTAAAGTAGTTTCTAGACTTTTCTATGCGCGGTTTTTTTTTTTTTTTTAATTTTATTTACTAACAACCCGTATTACGGGTTGCTTACTGCTAGTATGATATGATTAGCAAATGATATATAATAATTAAAAAAAACTTGAGTTTACGATGTTTGCTGACAATAAAAATTAATTTTACTCTTCAACAAACATCAACTATCTGTATGAATAATGTAAACCTAACTCCAAAAGTTATATAGTTTAAAACTAATAAGCTATCCATAAACATAGAAAAAACAAAATACTCTTTATTTCAGCTACCCAATCAAGACGCGATATAAATGTGATATCAAAATGATATCAAAACCTTCTCAAGCTATTATATCATATAATGATATCATTATGATATCATAGTGATATCATAACTTTGAGAAATAAACTTAATTTATAGCAGAATTTCATATAATAATTACAATCAACAAAAAAAGTTAAGTTTTTCTCTTTTAATGTCCAAATAGTAAGTTTTGATTTATAAACTCATACTCTGATCTCATTATCATATCAAGAATTTGTCATGCTATGATGTAAAATACAAGTTGCTTAACATTCATACTACATAGCGGGAAAACGTCTTACAAGAATTGATTATTACTTTCAAGATGGCTGAAAGATATGCAAAAAAGTATTAAAAAAATAGTAAGACCAAATAAAATAAAACAAGTTTTAAGTTTTATTTACTTAGTCTTACTATTTTTTTAATACTTTTTTTTGCATATTTTTCAGCCATCTTGAAAGTAATAATCAATTCTTGATGCAATCACCTGCTTTCATTGATTTATATTTACAATTTATAACTAAATAACATATTTAAAACACTAATATGAACGTGTTAATTAAGTAAATATTAGTAGTAATAGTAGTAGAAGTTTATGATGTGTCAGACAGACCCAGTGAATGTGTTGTTTTGCACTCTTTTTGTTATAGTATTATAGCAGTTATATTTGATTGCTACTCAACTATTATTTAAAAGCTGTTTCAGCTGTTACATCTTTAATTGAGTTCCATGCATCTTAAATTTTGTTCAAAAGGAAATGCTCCTTTTAATTAAGAGGGAGCATTTTTTTTTTGACTTAATCTTTAATCTTTAAGAGTCATCCTTAACATAATTGCAGCTGATCTTGAATCTGATCTCACTTCAGTAATAGATTGGGGTTCACAGTGGCTTGTGAATTTCAACTCTAAAAAAACCCAATTGCTTACTGCAAACAACTACCGTAGTATGGTCAACATTCCTATATTAATGAATGGCAATCCTCTTACTGAGTCGTCCTCTTTACGTCTTCTTGGATTATCGCTTACTACTGACCTTTCATGGAAACCATATATACAATCGATTGCTAAATTAGCTTCTGCTAAGGTTGCTTCTCTTTATCGTGCTCGCCATTTCCTTACTTCTGATTCCATTCTCTACCTCTACAAATCTCTTATTCGTCCCTGTATGGAATACTGTTGTCATATTTGGGCTGGTTCTTCTAACGATTCACTTTCTCTTCTTGACAAGGTCCAAAAACGCATTGTAAATGTTGTTGGACCTGGACTATCTGCTAAGCTTGAACCTCTTTCTCATCGTCGTAAAGTTGCATCTCTTTCTCTTTTCTACAGATACTATCATGGTCACTGCTCAAAGGAGTTATCATCTCTAGTTCCATCAACTAAAATTCATTCTCGTTTTACTCGTCATTCAGCTAAGTCTCATTCGTTTACTGTATCTGTCCCAGCATGCTCTAAAAACTTTTATTCATCTAGTTTTTTTCCCCGCACTTCAATCCTTTGGAACTCTCTCCCATCTTCATGTTTTCCTGACTCCTACAACCTTCAACTTTTCAAGTCTTCTGTCAACCGTTTCCTTGCTCTATAACTCTGTTCTTTTTTTTCCTAGTAACTCCCAACTTAATAGTGGTTGCTTGCAGCCTTGTTGGGAGTGAATGCAAATAAAAAAAAAAAAAAAAAAAAAAAAAAAAAATGCAGCTCTCAGAGTCCTAAAGCAATACCCTCTTAAATAGTTTTGATAAGTGGAAAATGTTTGCCAATATTTATTTTGTCAATGTCATGCATAAGTTTGTATAATTGGAACGAATCTCTCTTTTTTGTATTCTCAGAGTTAACAAGCCTATGGTAATCAATTTATTTAAATGTTTATTTGAACAAATTTTTTACAAAGCATTCATAACAATAATTAAATCAGTAAAATTTTTAAACATAAATCATTTAAGAAGTTCCAAAAGTAGAAAGAAAGCACAAATAAATTAGCTATGCTTGTAGAAAGAATTTTGCATATAATTTGCATAGTTAATGAATGTTGTATATGTAGAAGTTAAAAATTCTGGTTGCTTAAATAACAGTTAATAGAACTTAATAGAAGGACTTAATAGGACTAAAATCCATAATAATAGAACTTAAATCCTATAAATAGGAGTTATTAGGACTGATAATCTATAAATGCAGCAGAAAGGATTTAAGAACTTGCCACCGATAGTAAAAGCAGTAATTATGAAAGTAATAAAAATATTAGGCTGACATTTAGAATAAAAGATGGTATTTTGATAAAAGATAGTAATTAAAAAGTTAAAGATGGTATTTTGAGATCTAAGCAATACTATAGACTTTGTGAAGTTAGTCTTTAACCATTGACAGACCGCCAATTCATAAATCCTTAAAAGTGCAAATATGTTTCTATGGCAAATCTAGTATTATATTGACAATATTTGTGAAACCGTTTCATTTGTTGTGATGTTGTTTTGTGGATTACAGATGTCAGCTAGTTTAGAAAACTTGAAAGACTTCACGGGGAAATCTTAGGGGGACATACATAAAGTATGTATGCAGTAAAATTACCGATTAAGGAATCCCTTCTTATTGTACACACCTGTATGCTTTTTATGCCCCCTTCTCCTCCCACTGCATGCATATCTATTATCACAAAATCAACCCTTTTCCCCCAACCTTTTTCTAACGCATAATTTTTTTAAAGAATTAAAAACAAAAAATTTTTAGTTATTTTGACATCACAAATAACAGAATTATTAATTTTGTTACTTAACAGAATAATAATTTTTTAAACTCAAGAAACTCTATGCTTATGTTAATAAAAAAAGAAATCAACTTTTCAAATAGATAGAGAATGAGAATTAGTCACACTACGTACTTACTTGATGTCTTTAACCTCTCTCTCTTTCTCTCTCTCTTGTACACATTCATAAATTTTTGGGTAAACTTCTCCCCCCAAACCTGCATCCATACTTTATGGAAGACCCCTCATGGCAAATGACATTATTTATAACAATGGAAAAATCATACAAGTAAAAGGTAAAATATTTAATTTGTAGTGCACCAGCTAAAGCTCTTATTTAATCTCTATACTGG